AGAGAGAGAGAGAGAGAGAGAGAGAGGGGGGATAGATAGGAAGAAAGAGGGTGAGAGAGAGAGAGGGAGAAAGAGAGATAGAGGGAGAGAGAGAGTACAAGAACAAGGTAAAGAAAGCAGCATATAGATAGTGAGACAGAAGAGGAGAGAAAGAAGAAGGAGTACAATGAGAAGTGTTTATTTATCTTCACCAGATTACTCGCTTCCAGTGTCAGATTCTATCATAAAGGTTGAGAGAAAGCTATCAGTTCCCAGTGTGCGTAGTTCGTTGGGTGAATAAACAACCCGCGAATTTGGTGCGGACTGGCCCATGGAAACGGGTGACAGACGGGGCAAGGAACTGTGAAAACGGAATTGCAAATCGGGAAGGGTAGAAGGTCAGGGAGAGAAAGACAATATGGAAAGAAGCATCATTCCAGTATATCACAGTGGCTGTAAAAACAGGACTCTGTTATTTATCGAGTTTCTCTTTGTTTCTATTGGGACTTTCTATCCACCTAAGCCAAGGTTGGCCCTGACAGGTTGGCTCGAAGCCTACCGCTTAATTGATCTAAATTGTTATAAAGGGCGCTAAACACCTACAAAAAACAGTGTATACACATGGCAGACTATGGGTTAGCTTGGCTGTTGTTCGGTTTTTTTTAGTGAAACTGTATTTGTTTGGTTTATTTTGTTTTCGGGGAGGAAGATTATTTGTTTGTGTGTTTGTTTAGGGTTTTTTAATGTTCTATTCTTATCGTTAAAAAGATAATTAATGGATCTGTTTTGACTTTTAGTCAACATATTTCGAGTTTTTAAATGAAATTTGAAAGGTGATTATATCTTCAGGAGTGTTACGCTTTTCCAAAAGAGATGTACTGAAGAACTGCCTCGTAGGCTTTTTTTATATTCCCCTCTGTAATGCATTCAAACCAATTGTTACAAATAAGAAAGACAGAGATGGATTGTTCTCTCTCTTGCACCTATTTTTCTCTCATTGATAATACACGGCCTGTCAGCTTACACCTTTTCTTTTTATAGACAGGCTGGATCTAATACGTGAGCAGACATGTAAATAAGTACACTGCAATTTTTATCAGTACTAAATTTAATCTGCAAGTAGTTTAAATGATATGAGCCCAAAAGGCAAATCTTTTTAGAAGAGAGAAAAACTGTTTCACTTTTAAACACGTAATGGTCTCTATATATCTGTTCTTGCTGTTTTCGAAATCTAGAATTTGAATCTTGACAAACTGTTTCTTGAACACTAGCAACCGACACCATAGATTAAGAAACTGCATTAAAATAGGTTATAATATATTATTTAACATTTTGGGGTTCGTACATCTGAACAGTTCTGTGGAGATTAAAGCCATTATTATGTATTTGAAAGTTGCCTACTTTTGTTTCTTTTTCCGTTATCTCCAATAAAGGTTAAAGAGGCTATGATATTATCTTATTGTCAGCTTAGTGATATCACACAGGCACGCGAAGTACGCTTCATCCCTCGGTCTTTAAAACGTTTGTGTCACGACATGGTGGAATCAGGCGCTCGTAAATGTTTAGGTATATGAGGTTGTTGGTACATCTTAAGTAAAGCCTGTTTATTTGCCTTCCGGTAAGGAGGTCAGGGTCGCCTGGTTTTAGAGGCAAAATTAGCGAGGAGATGGCCGACAAAAGTTTGGAAAGTTCCATAGCCTGAGAGTCCTTGGAAACTGAAAAATTATATTTTTGTGCTATTAATCAATGTTATTCAGTAAAATTCTTTCAAAAACGTTTTTTTTTTTTTTAATGAACAAGATAAAGAAGAAAGAAATGCCCATCGGCCATAAAAAAAATGCCGATTTCCTTAAATATTTTAACGAGCACCTGATTTCACCACGATGCCTCACTTTTTTCATGTGACCCTGGGTAGTACCAACACTGAGATCAGACAGGTACCGTGCCTGTCTTCATTAAATTCGCTGGGATATATGGCTTGTATCAGTTCTGAACCTATCAGCTTCTCACTA